ATATATATGTATGTATATCCTCACTTTGAACACACTTATCCCATCATTCTCGGCACCTTCTTTTTTGGTGTTTGTTTTGTTTTACAGAGGCTATCTCTATATAGTCCAGGCTAGCCTTGAATTGACTATATATGGAGGTTGGCCTTGAACTCACAGTGATCCTCCTGCCTCAGCCTCCTGAGTGCTGGGATTGCAGGCATGCACCACCACTCCCAGCTTCATTCTTGCCACTTTCTGAAGCAGTTCTGGAAGTCCTCTTTTGTGAGTGTCTTTATGAGGTATTACCAAAATACAGTGAATGCTGTTGCCAAATACTACCATCCAACAGAAAGGGAAGCTCATAAAAACACCTTATTCACCAGATCTGGCACTGTGCCACTTCTGGCTCAAAGTCAAGATGACCGTGGAAGGTGAACGTTTTGAGTTGATTCAGAACATTGAGGTAGGCATGACAGTGTAACTAAAGACACTCAGGGAAGAGAACTTCCACAATTGCTTCAAAAAGTGGCAAGAATGCTGGGATAAGTGTGCTTAAAGAGAGGGAGAGGATTTTGAGAGATTCATACCAATGTATCTTTTACTGTAATTTTATTTTTAAAATATTTTTGGTTTTTTAAGACAGGCTCTTGCTATGTAATTCAGGCTGGCCTTGAACTTACTTTGTAGCCCAGGCTAGTCTCAGACTTGAAGCAGTCCTCCTGCCTCAGATTCCCAAGTACTGGGATTACCGGTGTGCACCACCACGCCTGACTTCTACTGTAATTTAAAAAATTTTAAACATTCACCATATTTTTAGATCATGGCTCATTGTTATTTAATCTTTTTTTGGGGGGGGGGGTCCCGGGGATTGAACTCAGGTCCTTGAGCCCACGGGACAGGCAGTGGAACCACTGAGCTAAATCCCCGCCTGGTATTTAATCTTTTAGGTGATTAAAAGAGCTGATTGCAAATTCACATATTGAAGGGTACAAGAAGCAGCCATGCCATGTGTCTTCAGAGGCTTCTATAAGAGGATGTCTTCTCCTGTAGAGGGTACTGTACCCACACTCCCCGAGTGTGTGTGTGGAGGGCTGCACTCTTTACTGAGAGGTGCTCCTCTTCCTCTGTTCTTGCAGATTTGAAGTGCGTGCTCCTGCCCCTCCCCCAGTTTATGTTCTAATTGAGTTATTCATTATCTTTGACATCCATTTCCCCTCTTTATTATGCTTTTCTCTTTCCTTCTTTTCCTCTCAGGCCAATTGAAAAAGGAATATTTAAAAACTCCGATAGGTAAGAACACTGGCCTATTTTGAAGGAAATAATACTCATCTAAAAGAAAAAGCAATAAAGGGGCCGGGGATTAAGCTGTGGTTCCACCGCCTGCCTCGAAAGTGCAAGGACCCGAGTTTGATCCCCAGTACCACACGCACACAAAAAAAGTAATAAAGCATCAATTAAGACAATCTTAAGGTTATACTTCCCTTATGCTGGGAAGGTTAAGAATTTTCCAGGTCTTCTCAAAACCTACATGGCTGCTCTGTGAGAACACTGCAGCTGTGAGCTGACTCTTGGTGTCGCCCATGGAGGCTCCATGATCCCTGTGAAGACTCTTCTCAAAATCTGAATTTGGCCATCAGTGAGTAAACCTTGCTTTCTTTGTTTCTTCCCAGATCCAGTCCGTGTCAGGGCGTCCTCGATCCTGTGATGTCGCATGTAGCAAGTAAGTAATTCTCTTTCTACTGCAGGTTTCCCTGGGAGGAGAGTTTACTGCTTTGTCCCTGAGCTCTGAGAACCATGACCTTCTCTGTGTGACCCTCCCTAAAATCAGCTGCTGGCTTTCGGTACTCAAATTTCATGTATTTAAAGTAGTTCAGTTACATAACAGCAGTAGTGAAGAAAAACCACCATAAATATGTTTGAGAATAACACACTGACTCTGGACAAACACATAACTCACCTGGTAGAGCAGAAGTGCAAAGTAGTCCTCAGCTGACAGATTGGACAGAGGACAAGGACAGTGTCTGTTAACCCAGCAGCTGGTTATGTAGAAGTTGAGAGAGTTTCTGAGAATGTATTAATGTCACTGAATTGTGTGCATAAAAATGGTTGAAATAATAGATTTCATGGTATGCACGAGGTGTGATTGAAAAATATGGTAAATGTTTAAATTTTTTATTATAATAAAAGACCTATTTCCATTAATCCTCCTCAAAATACTCCCCTTTGCTTCAAACACACTTATCTGGCCATTCTTGTCACTTTCTGAAGCAGTTCTGGAGGTCCTCTTCTTGGGTGTCTTTAGTTGCACTGTTGTGGCTGCGTCAGTGTCCTGAATGGATTGGATTGAAAAATGTTTACTTTTCATGGTCACTTTAACTTTGAGGAAGAACCAGAAGTGGCATGATGCCAGATCCAGTGAATAAAGTCGATGACTGTTTTTACAAGCCTGGCTTTGTGTTGGTTGGCTCTCGGCATTGTATTTTCAGTCACACCTCATAAAGACACTCAGGAAAGAGGACTTTCAGAGCTGTTCCAGAAAGTGGCAAGAATGATGGGATAAGTATATTCAAAGTGAAGAAGAGTATTTTGATGGGGATTAATGACAATGTGTCTTTTACTGTAATAAATGTTTTAAAATTTATATTTTCCATATATTTCAATCACACTGCGTGTATTTTACTGTATTTTTAATGGAAGATTAATAGGAACATTTGCAATATTACAAAAGAGGTTCTGTGACAACACTGATTATTTAATGGATTTCATAGTATATAACCTTATTTCCTAAAAGCTTTTGAGATAGCCTTCAAAAATATGTGTAATACAAAAAGATGAAAAGTGAAGTTGGTGAGGAAGTTGAGACTGGGAAACAATAAGGAGCCAAAAGGGAAAGTGTCAGCACACACAGAGGAGGCCACTGCGGACCTTGGTGATGACACAGCACATAGCTGCTTAGCTGCCTCTGCCATCACAGCCAGCTAGAAGAGCCCCCTGCCACCGTCTTCACAGGGGACCCTGGGACTTCCTGGGCACCTATGTCAGCTCGGAGAAGAGTAAGTCTTCCCTGGGTGTGAAACATTTGAAAATGGGACCCTTGATGATCTGGCTTGGCCTGAGTACCCATTGTAGACGGTCTGTGGGTGAGCTAGATGGATTCAGGCCATATTTCCCATGAGTTTTTCACATCAGTGTGTGCAGGCCACTCCCTACTGAGTACCTGCCACACAGACATTTTTTTTGGCTGTTTAAATATAAACTCATGTAATTAGCAGCGTGCTTAGCTGAGCAGAGAGTTGACCTTCTCTTCAGAAAGTCAGAGAGCCTGCTGGGTACATGCAGGACAGAGAGAGCAGCTCAACCACGGGTGCGGGCCCTGCCCACAGATGGGCCAGGATTTCCCCCAGGAAGCAGTTTTGGCTGGGCCCTCACACAATAGATGCTCTGGGCCCTCAAGGCCCACTGCTACCGAGATCTGGGCTGCAACACATTAACCATGGAGAATTTGAAACCCAGTATTTCTTAGATAAAGAAAATTGCTTTCTTGTTCTTCTGTTAAAACTGGCATGCCATTTGATGACTCCTATTCATGCAAATAGATGTTAGCCCCTTAATTCTAGGTGCCAGTAGAACAATGAACAAGACAGATCGAGCCTCTGCTTGCAAGGAGCTCATGTTCCCAGGGAGACAGATAGGCAAGGACAAGCCAAGCAATGGAGTATGTGTTGTATGTGGGTGAATGAAATGGGGAGAAAGCAGAGTAAGGGGACGGGCAGTGATGGGTGTTGAGGAAGCCTTTCTGACAGGATGGCCTGTGATCAGAATCCTGAATGAAGTGAGGGGAAGAGGGTTTCAGGTGGAGGGAAGGGGAGGTGTAAAAGACCCCGAGGCAGAGCAGCCTGGAGAAGTAGCTCAGAGAGTGTTCAGAGAAGGTGAGATCATCCAAGGGTTTAGAATAGGGAGAGTGAACATTTCCTGCCTTTTTTCAATTCCAGTAGATAGCAACGATGTTTGCAGTGACTGTTGTATTTCCTTCAACTACAGAGAAGTTTTCCTTATTACTAATAACCAGGCTCACATTGGTCACATTATACTTTCTGTCCTCACTCAGCCACTGGACACACCGTTTGCTGTCCCCCATCCCCCAGCCTTCACTCCCACCTCAGTACCAAGAGGCTGAGTCAGAACGCCCTCTGTTGTCACAGTGAGCAGCTCTAGGGTCCCAATTCATTTTTCAAGTGCTTGCACTTTTACCTCATAACCAGTTCCATAACCCAGCCATCTGAGAGACCACATTGACATCCAGTTTTTCTACAACCAAAACTACTCTCCTTCCTCACCCTTCTTTTGCCACCCTGCTTCTCCCTACACCTCTGCAGTTAGCTCAGTCTTGTTCCTTTTACCCCAGGAGGAGAGGCTGTGAGGAGTCACATTCAGCCTTTTCTGCTGCCCTCCCTATCATCTGGCTGCCTCCCTGGTGGCCTTGCTGAGGCCTCTCTCCAGTGCTTAGCCTTCCCTCTGGGGCCTAGAATTGTCAGCCTTCTTTTGAAAGAGTATTCACTCCTGAGTGCAGCCCAGTGTCCACCTCCACTGTTCCCTGGAAGTGTCTATTCCTTCCTCTAGGACTTAGCTGAGTCAATGATATCCATACTGTGTATCATTCTATGTGGCAAAACCCCAAGTGTCTGAAATCAAGCTCGAGTTTTTCCCCATCCTCTGCCTCACTTCTAGTCCTCTGTGCCCTCCAGTCCCTGTGCCAGGAGCCCTGGCATCATTCTGGAGCCCTCTGTTAATTCTCTAGAGTCTGTCCTACCTCCTGTCCCTGTGCTCTCCTGGTGTTCCATTGACAGCATTGTCAGAGCTTGTCTCTCTGCTTCCAAGTGCTCCTCCTTGCCCCTAGGTCTGGGAGCCACCCTCCCCTAAGGAAGACTGGGTTCATCTTCCCTACTTCCCACCTTCCCCTGTCTTCCTGTCCCTGAGCCTCAGTCTCAGCCACAAGTGTTCCTTGCTTCCCTAGGCGCACCAGGTGACTTCCCACCTCCCTGCTTGGCTCAGGCTGTGAAAACTGCCTGATGCAGTTCTTGGCCTGATTACCTGAAGTCTGCAGCCTTCACACTGAGCTCAGCTATCCTCAGAAAGTCTCCTCTGGTCTGCTCCTCACCCCTCCACACCCATATACCCGGCCTAAGTCATATGGCAGTGCAAGTTACATTCTTTCTGGCTCTGTCTCCTGCTGCTTCTGAGTTTCAGAAAGGCCTAGTTGCACTTGGGGCTCTCCTGATGTGTGTTGTACCAACCAAAGGTCTTCCATGGGCTCTCCCTCCCTGTCTCTGTCCCATCCTCCTCCTCTTCAACACCACCCCTTCCTGGACCAGACCTGGGCCACTGCAGGAACCTTCTGATTGGTGCTCCCACCTCTGTTTCTGCTTCTGTAAGCACCTACCACACAGTATCATTTCTAAAGTGACCTCCTTTTCCTTGCTTTAGGGCCCCTCTTTGCTACAGTCTCTGCCCCAGACTCTTCATTATGGCCTGTTATCTTCCCTCGTGGTTCCTCATCTGCCTGCCTCTCCTTCCCCACACTCTGCCCGCCTCTCCTTCCCCACACCCTGCCCTGGCCTCTGACACCTCACACCCTCAGCATGCCCTTGACAAAGCCTTCCTTCCATAGCCCATCCTGACACTGACGCTGTTTTTGTGCTTCCAGTGTCACTTTACCTCCTGTTTGTACCCACTCCTCATCAGACCTGCCACATTGCCATTGTTGGCTCATCCTTTCTGCCTCTGTTGCCTGTCTGTGAGCTGTGATTAAGGCTTTGGGGCCCACCCTTGTAGAGGGACCCTTGATGCATACTCCTTAGACCTGCGGCCATTTAGCTCAGAAAAACCCCACGTGTGCCCTGCAGGGCACAGCAGGGCTGGCGCAAGGAGAAGGCATGTGGATGGCAGGCTGGGCTGCCCTCCTGTATGTTCTCACACAGGAGCCCAAGACAGCTAGGAAGTCCAAGTTTGAACCTGGCCTGCCAGACTATTAGGAAAGTGTGATCTGTCAAAACACACACAGAGAACAAAGTTCATTTAGGGTTTGTTGATTTGATTTATAACTCTAAAAAGGAAGTAGATGGTCACAGTCCTCTGTCTGCAAGTGCTAAGGGCAGGCCTGGCGGAGAACGTGTGAATACGATGCCTTCTCTGCGCTTCTCCTTGTCACACCTCCAACAGTAGCCTCAGGCCTGGCACACAGCGACTGTCCAACAGGTTTTGTTAAATGCATGACAACGTGTTTTTTTCATTTTCAAGTTTATGAAAACTGTATTTAAAAGTCTGTCCTGGAAGGAATCTAGTTGCACAGAGACGATGTTTTTATCTTTTGGTGGGAAAATAATTTAGAAATCAGCAAAAAGAACTGTATAACTATGAAGCAGTGCTGCACATTTTACAGAGTACTTTTGCATCAGTAATCTAATCTAGTCTTGAAAATATTCCTGTAAAGTAGCCATAGGTAGCATCATCAGTCCAATTTAATAGTTCGGAAATTATATTTCAGAGATGTTAAACCAACCACCTAGGTTTTCCAAAGAAGGGAGAGCAGAGCCTACATTAGGACTTTGAATTTTGATATCCACTGCTCTTATTTGACAAGGAAAAGCTACTACACGTGTTCCATTTCCCAACAGCCAAGTCCCTTGTGAAAAGTTCCCAACAGCCAAGTGCCTTGTGAAAAGTAGTATTCATTTTTCTATTTTCCAGTGCGCTCCCCCATAATGGGCAAAACATAGGCCTCTCACCCTTCCTGGGGACCCTGAACACAGGAGGATCATTACCGGATCTGACCAACCTCCACTGCTCGGCACCACTGCCAGCCTCTCTGGACCCTGGCGACCACCTCCTAGGCAGCATGAGTGTGGGGAGCAGTGTGGGTAACCTCCCTGCTGCCATGACTCACCTAGGGTTAAGAAGCTCCTCTGGTAAGTGTCCCCACTTAGGAAGGGCTTGCTTGCTGGCTTTATCACTGGTGACCTCATCTCTGTGGCCTGTTCAGTGTATCATTGAATGAGAGTGCCTATATCTTTTTTTGGGGGGGTACGGGGGATCAAACTCCAGACTTTGCGCTTTCAAGGCAGATGGCAGAACCACTGAGCTAAATCCCCGGCCCAAGAGTGCCTATTTCTTAATTAAAGAGAATTATATACCTCTGGTACCTACTGGCTCTGTGGACATTTCATTTTGAGAGTTCTATTTCTGTTCCATTTGGTAAACTCCGGGGCACAAACCCGTGCATCTCCAGGATTTAGGGAAGAAGATTTAGGAGTCAAGAAATAAGTGTAGGCCAGGTGTGGTAGCATACACCTCTAATCCCAGCACTCTGGGAGGCTGAGGCAGGAGGATCACAAGTTCGAGCCCAGCCCAGGCAATTTAGTGAGACCTTGTGTCAAAATAAACAATAAGAAAGGGCAGGAGATGTAGCTGAGTACACAGGCCCTGAGTTCAATCTCCAGTACAAAAAAAGCGACCATTTTATACTGGCTGAACTCTTATCATAACTTGTGGTATCTCCCTAGATCCCTCCAGTTTCCCATGATGGATTTCCAAAGAGGATATTTTGAATTTTGGAAAATTTCCAATGGATGCGATGAAAATGTTTATACTTAGTATATGTGTATTGAGTAGAAATCTGCTACTGTTCAGAATCATTCAAGTGCTTAAAGATGTGGCCTTAGTTATACTAACGTGCTGTGCGGTGTCTCTGTACAGATTGCCCACAGCTCACACCTCATGGTTGGCCTCAAACCACCACATGCTCTTGTCCTGTCAGGTAGTGATGCTCCCTGCGGTCCCAGCACTGCACTTCTGGCCCTGGCCATAACAGCACTGCCGGGATGGATGTGTGCTGGGAAGGTGTCCCAGGGATGGTTAGTAGGTGTAGGGTGTGTCTTCTTGTCTCCATCCTGGGTTCAACAAGACTTGTCCACATAGATCAGAACTTGCCTACCATATGGAGCAGGGTCATTGGGAGGTTCTGTGAAGGCAGTGACACTGCCACTGTGCAACATAATTTTAGGTTTGCAGAACTGAATTCATAGATTGCTTTTATTTGCATTTTAGGTTTTTTCCCCTTTTATTGTCTTTGGTAATAAGCAAGTTTTTTCATGCACTGAGTCTGGGTTTTGACTTTTAGAAATGAAGATGTGTGTGGTGCAAATGTACTGGTGCTGTTTTGGTCCAGAGTGTTTCAGAGAATGTGTTCTTTGGGGCCCAGGATGCTCTGAGAGAAGACACAGTCTCTCAACTCTGGGTTCACTTGGCTTGTTTCATAATAGAAACTCTCAAAGCTTTTGGGGTTTCTGGATTCTGAGCCTGGATGATCACCCTTTGGGTGAACTCTTAGTGAATGAGGATACCAAGGGTCATGGAAGCTGTTAGCAGCTACAGCTCTAGAAGGATTTTGAAGAAGGTGGCGTTTTCTGATATGAGCTTTGACACTTTGCTTCAAGCTGAAAACCTCCTGTTTAATCATTGGCTGTTCTCTTCCTCAAAAAAAGCATCATTTTGTCCAGAACACAGCAGAACTAGTATCACGTTTTTATAGTTTATGCATTCCTTAAAATCCATGCTACCTATATTTTTTAAAAAGATGTTTAAACTTTCTTTCTGAATTTTAAAAAATACATCTAAATTCAGATCTCTAGCTCTAATTATTATTTGAGCTAATCACATCTCTGATCTTTTTCATGGATTATTACATGATAGGATAACTGCTAAGATTTCATCATAGCCATCTTCCTACATTAAAAAAAATTGCCAGCCAGCTGGGTGTGGTAGCGCATGCCTGTAACCCCAGCACTTCGGAGGCTGAGGCAGGAAGATTACCATGAGTTCAAGGCCAGCCTGGGCTACCTAGCAAGACCCTGTCTCAAAAAACCCCACAAAAAACAGCTAAACTGCTTGATTTTTATAATTTCTTCATTTTTTTAAATCAACACAAAACTACACACAATTCTGCTCACCCCAGCTGCTAGTGCAAGAATAGTGGGCTGAACTTTAAAACGTGGCTGTTGCCAATCGAGATATATGTAGCAGCAGCAGCATTTTTCCTTCATGGGGTGAAGCTGCCATAGGCCAGGCCTTATGCCCGGTGCTAAGGGCACAGCAGGGACCAGGACAGTGTCCCTGCTTCATGGAATGCATGCCCTAGCAGCCTGTGCCATTGAAAACCCTTTTCCAAACTTTATTGCTCAGGCTAAGATTAACTCCCTCCTCGCCCCCAAAGAAATAAGAGATCATCAAAAACCTCGTCTCTGAGTTGGAATAGACTATGATGAACAGTTTCCCAGTAGCCTAGAAACCAAAGAGAGAGGGAGCCTGGGGTGGGAGATAGGAAGGAAGTGCCCCTTCCTATGACTCCCTGGTGTATTATGCTTAGGGTATCTAAGGGCTTCCTAAAGCCACAGTTCTCAATGAAAGGATGTCCTCCAAGGCAACAGAGGACCCAGGCAGTGTGTCCGGGAAAGAGCCATTTAAGGGCTATGAACAGAACTGGTTGTCTGGCCCTGGGCTTCTTTCAGTGATCAAAGCTGGGCACACAGAACATTTGTCTGCTACCCACTGCTTACCCAGCATCACTCCCCCAGTGGTTGTTTCCACACCCTGTTCTTTGGAAACAGTAGTTCTCGTCTTGCTCCTGCTAGATGCTTGGTACCATCTCTTAGTGTGGGTGCATCTTCTTGCACTGGTTCATCTAGGACATTTCAAGTAGGAGAATCACCCAAGAGCTCCATTATATACAGCATCACTATCACATATGGATAGTAGAATGTTTTCTTTCATCTTTGGATAACAAAAGATTGGTGTGAAACTCTAACAAGTAACTTGTGAATGTATTGTCTTCCAGGTCTGCAGAGTTCTCGGAGTAACCCCTCCATCCAAGCCACGCTCAATAAGATAGTGCTTTCCTCTTCCCTAAATAGCCACCCACAGACATCTGTCGCCAGTGTGTCTGCTCTGCACCCTTCGCTGCGTCTGTTTTCCCTTAGCAACCCGTCTCTTCCCACCACAAACTTGAGCGGCCCCTCAAGGCGCCGGCAGCCTCCTGTCAGCCCTCTCACACTCTCTCCCAGCCCAGAAGCACATCAAGGCTTCAGCAGACAGTTCTCTTCCACCAGCCCACTGAACCCGTATCCTGCCTCCCAGGTAAACACAGACACACGTGCCACAGCATCTGGGGGTTGCTTCCCTTCTCTGAGCTGCTTTGGACTAGGTCCATTATTACAGAGAGAACAGAAGTGTGAATAATTTAGAATGCATTATGGATTGTCTAATAGCAGATTTGTGGTGTGGATTACTCTTAAGCAAATACTGAACAATTTGCAGTCCCCAGCTCGTGAACTTGGGGCAGGATGTAGAGATTCAATCCAGATATGTCTAAGATAGCTAAAGGAAACCAGGTTAGGATTTCCAAGTTGGTATGGAAAATCAATTATTGACTCTCTAACTACATTAAGCCACAGGGGAGAGCCAAAGAAAACATTTAGTATCTTCCTGAAGCTTTGATAGTGGATTAGACCTCTTCCCTAATTACCACTACAGATTTAAGGAACAATACTTTTATTGTTCATAAAATGCTAAGAATAATGAGGATTATAGCTCAATAAAAGGAGTAAATGAAGTCTGCTCAGAAAGAGACACATTTTAAAGTCATAAGCCCATTATAGAAATACAGGAAACTGGGCATAGTGGGACACCTGTAATCCCAGCACTCGGGAGGCTGAGGCAGGAGAACCACAGCAGGTTAAAGGCCAGCCTCAGCTACATTGTGAGTTTAAGGTCAGCCTGAACTCTATAACAAGATCCTGTCTCAAAAAAACAAAAACAAGATTTGAAGCTGGGCATTGGTGGCATACTGCTATAATCCTAGCACTCTGGATGCTGAGGCAGGATTGTGAGTTCAAGCTTGGCCTGAATAGCTTAGCAAGACCCTGTCTTGAAAGACTAAAAAGGTCTGGGGAAGAAGCTGAGTGCAAAGGCCCTAAATTCAATTCCCAGTACCACCCAAAAGAAAGAAAGAGAAAGAAATATAGATGTTGAAATGTTACATTTTGACTAGTTAAATTTGTTTGTATTCTAGACTCTTAGAGTGGTTCTCCTTACCATATCATCAATGAATGCATTAGACCATCAGAAACTACTCACCACTTCACTATAAATGAGTAATGGTTTAGAAGAAGGAGGCGTTTAGAAGGTCTCCTTGTTAGTCTTTACCAATTTGCCTGTGGGAACCTGACTGTATGAGTCATCTCTTTGCGGGGAGGGCATTTTGTAATTTTTTTTTTTTTTGGTACTGGGGATGGAACTTGGGACCTTGTGCTTGCAAGGCAGGCAGCGGCACTACTGAGCTAAATCCCTGGCCCCAACCTCATAATTGTTTTTTGATGGTTCTAAGTTATTGAATTGCCTTTAGTTTTATTTTGCAAGATTATTTTATAGGATATAAAAGTTTTCTTGCTTTCTAGCTACATTTTAAGGAGACTATATGGGTAGACACTGCCTTCTTTCAGATGTTTTCATTTTTTATTTGTTTAATATTCAGATTTTTAAAGTAATGTTATTATGCATATAGTTAAAAAGGAAAATAGTTCTAAAGGACTTGTATAAGAGCTGTCTTCCTCTCGCCCGTGAACCATATTTTGCTTGTCTAGAGATCGCTGCTTTCAATCCTTTTGACTGACTCTGGTATAACCATATTAACCTGTGCTTATTTTGCTCTAGATTTTTGGTGTTAGGCATTATCCAATGACATCCTACCGTTGAAGATCAGGACTTAGTTTTCTTTTACCTCTCCTGCCACCCCCACCACACACCGACACACTGACACACCGACACACACACACACACACACACACACACACACACTATTCCTAGTCAACCTCATTTATTATAATTTGGGTTAGATCAATACTCAGTGCTTAGTATTTCTGTGGTTATAGTCAGAGAGTTGAATCATATAGTATATTATGAAATAACAAAGTGAACATTTGCTTTCCTCCTAGGAGTGAGTAAGCTGTCTTACCTTTTTGTGTTTCTCTGATTTTATTTATTTATTTATTTATTGATTGATTGATTGATTGTTGTACTGGGGATTGAACCTAGGGACTTCACACTGAGCTATATCCCTGTTCTTTCTTATTTTGTTTTTAGTTTGAGACAGAGACTCATTAAGTCACTAAGTTACCTATGCTAGGCTCAAACCTGAAATCCTCCTGCCTCAGCCTCAGAGAGTGCTGGGATTATAGGTGTGAGCCACCACATCCAGCTCCCTGGGGAACTTCTGATGGCCTAAGTGTTAGGGGTTCTCTCAGCTGGCTCATATCCCTGAAGAACACAGGTGTCTAACACCTGGATATATGTCTGGATTCCAGCACTGTGAGAGCTGAGCTGGGACCGAAGGGAGAGCTTTCAAGATCTGGTAGTGAGACTTCTTGTAAACCCTGTATTTTCAGTAGAAAGCCTCACCCAGTGGGTCCACAGACCCTGACCTTGTATTCTCCAGTGGCCAGCCCAGGAGGCTCCTGGTGGGTGTCTAGGAGTGGGGGCACAGAAGCACAAGCAAAGTGAGGGCTCTGCAGGGCCAGCTGCCCATATGGGCCCCCCTGGTTTCGTGTCACCCCTGCCTGTGCCCCCCAACGCCAGAGCCCTTTAGGGACGCATTGATGGCACTCAGATTGCCGGTTTAGCATTGGGCTTTCTCAGCTCTGCTATTTTCCAAATCTTGTTGCCATTTTCTTCCCTCATGTTATCTTTGTCTTCATGTTGTCTGTCATTTAATGTTACTTACTGTTTCACTGTTGTATGTTAATGTTTATTGTTTGATGTTGCTCTAGTGTGTTTTTTCAGAAAGGTTTGGGAAGATGGCACAGTTAAGAGCCATCTTTTTTCAACCTTCTATCTAACTAGAAGTCATGGTTTTAAAAACAAAACATTGGGCTGGGGATTTAGCTCAGTGGTTTCGCCACCTGCTGTGCAAGCACAAGGACCCAAGTTCGATCCCCAGTACCAAAAAAAACCAACAAAAACAAAACATAATCTTCCCTGAGCAAACAGAAAGGAAATTGGTACAATTGGCATATTCATGATTGGTTTTTAGTTTTATTTTATTTTATTTTTGGTACCGGGGATTGAACTCGGGTCCTTGCGCTTGCGAGGCAGGTGGCGGAACCACTAAGCTAAATCCCCGGCCCACGATTGGTTTTTAAAGACAATAGAAATGTCACTGAATGGGAAATGCTTTGTGGGGAAGTGAGATTTGAGACCCACTCAGAGGACCAGACATAGGCTTTTCTCATACTGTGACATTTCCTGATCCAGGGGCTAGGACTCAAAGCTCATGGGTGGCTTTCTTTACAGATGGTGTCCTCAGAGCAAAGGCCACTGTCCTTCCTGCCCTCTGAAGCTCAAGCCCAAGTTTCCCCACCTCCCCCCTACCCCACATCCCAGGAGCTCCCACAGCCCCTCCTGCCGCAGCCCCACTCCCAGGAGCCCCCTCCTCCGCAGCCCCAGGCTGCCTCATCCCTGCCCCAGTCAGACTTCCAGCTTCTCTCGTCCCAGGTGAGTCCCTGCAGAAATGTCAGTCAGTGAGGAGGGGGTGTAGGCTTCACTGTGGGTTCCAAGATAAATAGTCTCTTTCTTCTTTGTAGGGCACATCTTTGACCAACTTCTTCCCAGACTTGGGGTTTGACCAGCAGTCTGTGAGGCCAGGCCCAGCCTTTCCCCCACAGGTGGGTGATTGCCTCTGCCCACCCTTCCTTGGTGCCCTGGACCACCCCTTACCCTAAACTGCTGACCCTGGCTGCCTGTCACATGTCAGGCAGGCCTCAGAGAGTTCCTGCTTTAAACCAGTACTGGGAAACTTTGATGACTGTAGTGATAGGGTTGTAGAATCTCCAATTCTGAAAGGACCATAGTGGTTCCTCCTGCTAAGGAAACTGAGGCACAGTGGAGGGCAGTGCCTGGCTCTGGCAATGGAGTTAGAAAGTGGGGATTGGTGTAACCAGCTCAGTGTGAGGCCCCTAGGAAAGCTCAGTCCAGGAGTGGGATAGGGGACCATTCCTTCTGGAAGATTTTTTTTTCAGTACCAGGGATTGAACTGAGGACCTTGTGTTTGCCAGGCAGGCACAGTGCTACTGAGCTACATCCCCAGGGAAGATACTTTCATTCAGTCACTTTCTTTTGCTTCTCCCTGACACTGACCATTTTTATTATCCCTAGATTTTATAGTGTTCAGTAAGTGTCTATCAGGCTCCAGGATGTAGTGAAGAGTAAAGGCAGGGTTGGACAGTTTCCAGAACTTAGTAATAGTAAAACAAATAAAGATAACTACAGTGCCACCTCAGTTCATGAATTTAATTCATTCCACAATTCTGGAAAAGATAGCCAGGTTTGTTTGTGTGAGAAAGATGGCCACAGTCGTGTTTATCACCTGATGCAGAGTTCGCAAACAAAGAATTTTGCCAAATGCTTCTGTTTGTGAACCACATTGTTCACAAACAAACGTGTCCAGGAACCGAGGGATCAGTGTATTTCCTATATAGGCCATGGTGAAGGCTTCTGGTGAAAACCAATAGTCCTTGCCTCCTCAGGGTTTTTGTGTTTTGTTTTGTATTAGTTTGGTTTTTTGTAGAACTGGGATGAAACCCAGGTCTGGTGCATGGTAAGCAAGCCCTCTGCCAGTGAGCCACATCCCAACTCTGCCTCTCTGTTTTCTGAAGAGCCTATTTCAGTCTAGATGAGAATCATCATATCCCTAAAAAATGATGGAAACTTTTTCTTTTGAGACATTTTCTTTTAAAAAAATGCATTGGAGGGTTAATTTCAGGAAAGGTATCTAAAATAGACCTTAGTTCTATCCCATCCTCACCAAGGCTTTATCCTAGAGAGGCACTGGCCCAAGGTCCCTCCCTCTGGTGTGACAAAGAAAAGCTTCTCTGTCTCATTTTTCCAGAAACCACAGAAGAGAGGTCATTGAGTCCTTGACCACAGATGGAGCCTTTGAAGGGTTCTCACAGATGGTAGTTGGCACCAGCCTCAGTGAGGCTGAGGAGGCAGGGTGCCAGAGACTTGGGGCGGCAGACTGTGACACTAGGGCCTTTTGGAATCCTGTAGCAGCTGGGCAGTATAGACTGGAAAAAGCTACCTATGGTGTAGACTTCAGAGGTGGGGTCTGTGGCCTGACAGGACTATCTTGCCTGCGTTGTCATGCCAGCAGAGCACACTGGGGCTTAGAAAGAAGGGACTCCCCTCTCTTCAGAAGCAGAGGCTGTTCCTCACAATGTGACCTTTTAATGCTTTCAGATGCCCCTGGCACAGCAAGGTCACCAAGAAGCACAGGACTCATTTCACTTGAGACCAAACCCATATTCCAACTGTGGGAACTTCCCGAATGCCATCATGACCGGTGAGTGTGGACCACCCTGAGCTTCTCCACCAATTGCATTTGATGTGTTGTTACAGTCGTCCTTGTAAAACAGTTTGAACCACATCACATTATAATAAAGCCAAAAGGGAAAGTCCCCTGGCTTGGCTTTACTTCCTGTGATGCAAGTGATTGGCCCTAGAGACCATGATGTGGTAGGGAAAGGGCCTGGAGGTCAGAATGTTTCTGAGGTGTTTAGTCTTGGGTGATTGACAGCCATTGCAAAAGAGAAAACGTGCAAACATTGGCAGTTGTGGAACTGCGGGTCCAGAATGTGGACTCCAGGGCAAGAACTGCAGGCCTGGGAATAGTGGGGAGAGAGTGCCACCATCCTGACTGGGAAGAGGACAGCATAGTGTTCTGGGAATTGCCGTCGGGGACTCTTATAGTAGCCTCAGGACCTCATGCCTCCTAATCAGCACTGTTCTCCCTTCTTGCTGCTCCTTTCAGAAGATTCGAACACCAGCCTGTTCAAAGACCTCAGCAATGCGCTGGCAGGCATGCCCGAGGTCAGCCTGAACATGGACACTGCGTTTCCACTAGAAGAGGAGCTCCAGATTGAACCCCTGAGCCTAGATGGACTCAACATGCTAAGTGACTCCAGCATGGGTCTGCTCGACCCCTCTGTGGAAGAGACATTTCGAGCTGACCGACTGTGAGCAGGAGGCCACAGAAGGAAGATTTCTGAACCAACCAAACTAGAGTGGAATAGAGTGGAGCCAGTGACCTCCTAGGACTTTAGTTATTTCCACACAGAAGGCACCTATTCCTCAGCTCCAGGCTTTCATGTGGTTCCATCTCGGATGCCATGGCTTCTCTAGACACAGAACTACGTCCTGCTTCTTGGGCCTGCACACACATTGTGCTGCTGCTGTGGAGCTTCTGGGGACCTGGAAAGCTTGTTCCCTGATGTATCCATCTCTTTACTGGCCATTTAGTCAGTCTGTGTGTAAAAGTAGAGAATCTCACGTAACAGGAGGCCAATATAGCATTGTGTTGTGCTCAGAACCACTGATCTCAGTCTGCACTGAGGACAGCCTGGTGTGGGAGTTTGTCGGGGCCATGAGCCTCAGAGCTGTCTCAGCATCACATGACGGTACTGGAGCACCACACTGCCTTTGCTGACCTGGCCTTGAAGGCGAGGTGCCTTCCAGCTGGTGGACATTCCAGGGCTTAGCTCAGAGCCATGCCAGCAAGCCAGGCTCTCTCGGATGCCTTACTTATCATATGAAGAAGTTTAACCACCAAGCCAAGGACAGGCTTGAGTCAGGCAAACTGAATGCTAGTTTGTTTCCTACCAGTCTGTAATCTCTTCTGCTGCTTTACACCTTTTCCTTAAGGACAGGAGGAAAAGGAAGACTTATTTTATTCGGCCACTGAAAAAGTCCCCTGACAATGGATAAGCCTGAGAAGAACTGTGCTCCTTCTCAGAGGCTGGGGAAGAAAGGAGGGGCCACCATAGGTAGCCCAAAGACACAGGGGACGAACACCAGACAAGCACAAGCCTCCCTGCCTGCCGGCCAGCTTGGGGCACCCCCAGCACTGAGCTCCTGCTTTGTGAAGTAGGAGTTTCCTAAGCCCTGCCTGACCACAAGCTCCCAGAGGGCAGAGACTGTGCCTTACTACTCACCCAGCCCCTAGTGCCTAACAAGTGCCTGGCATGGAAACCATGCTGCATAACTGCATGCTGGGTGTACATGCATGTGAATGAGTCTGCCCGGCTGCGAGGTGGTCTTCTGAGCTTAGCTTTCCTAATGCTGGTTCCTGTGCTCAAGTCACATCACTTAATATGCTTCTAACACTAGATGGCCAGATCTATAGGAGATGGGCACCTTCTCCTTGAGGTTCTTCTCCATGGCAGTAGGTGGGAATTGTCTCCTGAGTGGATCCAGAATTGGGGAGCAAACCCAGGCCTCCCAAGGGCTGACACCTGCAGGATCCTTGTGAGACCTCTGCCTCACGAGAACTTCCTTCTCACATCCATGCGTTGGTCTAAATTGCTTTAAATAGAAATTTGCACTGTGAGGTTGGAGTAGTAAGTTCATAGTAAACAAAGGCCTAATTCACATATTTATTGTTACTCATTAATGCCTTATCATACAATAGTATGAGTAGATTTCCAGCAGTGCCTGCCTCCTTGATCTGAGCCTGGGAGCAGAACCCATGGTGCCCAGTAGCCCTGCAGAGAGGAGCCAGGCAATGAGGAGGCAGCAGGGTGGGGAGACCTGAAGGATGAGGGGCTTTGTGCTGGAGCCTTTGCACCCAAGGCTGTGTGAGGAGCCAACCCCTGTGGGAATCTGTTCTGTCCCAGCTTGTGAGCTCTCCAGCCTTTGCCTGGTTCTCTTGCGTCTTCAGAGGCCTGACCTCTGACCTTTCCAGCAACTCCACGGTATATCACTCCACCTTCCTGAGGACCCAAGAACGCCTGTCTGCCTGTTTGCCCAAGTCTCTGCTGTTGTTAGGAAGTCCTTGCCTGGTTTCCACCCAGAAAGGAGCTGTTGGCCTCCCCTACAAGTCTTATTCCCAGCTGAATTCCTAGACACCTCCATGTTTGAGATCCCAGAGTGGGGCAACTCTGTTATAGTAAAAGGGCCTTTCAGTTGGGATGCTACCCAGCACCCCAGTGTGCCGACAGAAGCCAGCTCCAGTGTCCTGAAATGGGACGTTGCCAGTCAGGTGCCAGTGTTTTGAGAGTTGTTTTTGTGGAAGTTCCAGCATAATCCACTCTTTGCATAGTGCCTTACTTACCCTTGTGTCATGGTCCCAGTCTGCTTTGCACAGCAGCCCTGCCTCTACCCCCCCCCCGCCCCCGCAACCCACAGGAGGAGCTATACTGTCCTGAGGGGTTCTACGGGGGACCAGAAGGGTAGGTGTCCTGGGGAAGGTGGTGATGAGCACAGTGTGGCTTAGCACTGAATTAAATTGACCCCTGGGCCCCTCCCTCTGTTTTCTTGTGAAGGTTTTGGGCATTATACAGCCCACCTTGCTGGCTCGGGTTGACACACCAGGGCCAATGTCACCCTGCCTCGGGGCTTAAGCCTGTGCACACTGCTACCTTTGCAACTAACCATCCATGGTCCTCAGCATTAGAAGTGGCTCCAGACTTCAGAAAAGGCTATTTTTAAATATTTCATTTTGTCACAAGAAATCAGTCCTATTACTCTCATTTATTTGCAGTTAAACAGCATCAAACTAAACGTCTCTCTGTGTTTCCATTTCGTTTTTCTGTATTGTGGTTTTGTTTTGTTTTGTTTTGGTACTGGGGATCGAACTTGGGTCCTTGTGCTTGCGCAGCAGGCGGTGAAACCACTGAGCTAAATCCCTGGCCCTGTATTGTAGTTTTTAAGACACAGGGTATTAGGAGAAGCCTGTCCTGATCACATCAGGATTGCCATCACTTCTCCTTTACCATTTCATTTCTAAGTCTGGTGTGTGTTACCTGAGTGGAGACGTTGTGTATCCAAGTCCATGTGTATATCGGAAGAACTTCCGTCCTGACTCTCCACGGCTCTTCTGATTTGTGTGCAGATGGTTCCAAGCCAGCAGGTCTCCACGGTTGGGATCATCTCAGCCACAAATCAGACTTCTTGCCAGTGTCCTAACTCCCAGGGCCCCTTGTTAAACAATATTTAAAGATTGGATTTTGTATAAAGTAGCTTCCAAGTTTTATAATTCATCATTTTACATCTTTCGTAATTAAAAGCAGCACAGTAAAACACGTGTCTACAGTGTCCTTCTTCAGCCCCGGGGTCAGAGAGTGGGTGGGGAGCATCTCCTACCAGCTCCCCTGTTTACCACATACACAGGGCGCATGGATCCTTTGTGCCAAGGACAGAGAGCACCCTGGAGGCCTCACTCTGCTGCCTCCCCCAGCCAGCACCCCACAGACCCCTCCAGCAGGGATCCGGCACCATACCGGAGCTCCTGAGAGCGTCCCTGAAAGCCCCCCTGTGACCCTGATGTCCAGAGCTCTGGCTTCTGCTCTGGTGGACACATGCCCTGTTCTTTGACCCCACTGTGAACTCTGTCCCAGCTTGGTCCTGCATGATGCCCTCAGTACCCTCTCAGTGCTCTGAGCTGCTGAACCTTGGCTTTCCAACCTGCAGGAAAAGCCCTGCCACCCCTCCCTCCCCATTCCTCACTTCCTGCCCTGCTGGCCATTCTACCCCCCCTCCCTCTTGATCCTTTTCGGACTACTGAGGTCTCCTCTCTGGCTCAGCAATTCCAAGCCATCAGGCAGCTCCCACACCTCTCTCGCCTGCTCCCACCTGTCCCCACCTGTCCCCTCTCCCCTGTAAACTTGCCTGACTCTGTTTCTCCCACTTTTCAGGTGTCCCTGTGATCTAATCTTCCTCAGGCCTTCCGCTTAGCCCTCCCCCATCAGCCTCTGACTGCACCTCATTCTCCCTCCCCGAAAACGAGCCCCAGGCAACCTTCCCTCAACCCCGGGTTCTCCTTTCCTGAGAGAGAACTTGTGCTTGCTACATCCTCCTCCCTTCCTGCCCGCCCATCTATCTGTACACCCCTCTGCCCAGCTGCATTCTGAACTCTCCAGGTCCTGTCTGATTTCAGTCCCTGCCCTGCTTGGCCCGGCCCTGACACTGGAGCCTTCAATCCATCTTTTTTCTCACAGGGCCTCTTTCTTGTTCTGCCACTCAGGGCACACATCTCCCAGGGTACCCTCTTCTCTGGCTTCTCATATGGTCCTCCAGGCTGGTGACCCTCTCGGCCCACCCCTTCTGGCTGTCAGCTTGGGCTCATCCCCACTCCACCCACCTGCCTGCAGAAAGTGTGCAGCATCAAGCCAGTGTCCCTCGCCATCACCTGGCACATCTGCCTGGGGCTATGCCAGACCCTTGGCTCCTATATTTATAGGGTCTGGCCTGTTCCCACCTGGGACCTTGTTCTCCCTCTCAGGATCAGGGATGCTGGAGAGAGAGCATCCTCCATACTCCACCCTCACTCCTCAAGTCCAGTGTGAGTCCTGGACAGCTCTCCGACCCACACTCTCTGGCTCTGTGGAGACCTCTTACCCGGCTCCCTCCTCTCTGGCCCTCCCTAAGGAGTTAGCAGAGACCAGTTTCAATCTCTCTGTGCCTCAGTATCCTCCTCTCTAGAATGGAACAGTACACACCCTCGTGTGCTAGGAGGTGCTGGGAGGGTGAGATAAATGCACACGATTCAATTAGAATTGTGCCCAGCACATAGTAAGTGCTGGATAAATGTCAGTTATTTTAACTATTTAACTATTATCTGCTGCATGGCTCTGTCACCCTTTCCAAGACAGTGTCCACCAATCCTTGGAAATACTGAATTTCTGTTGTGCTTGCTTTGAAATACCAAGTCTTAGTATGGGGAGAAATGCTTTAAATGGATTTTATTTTAGTTCTGTTTGCTTACTGAGTGCAATCCACTGTGCAAATGTGGAAATCAAGGTTTGCTGGGGCTGTGTCCCGATGTGAGCACTAGATGGAGCTGAGGCTGTAAGAGTGGCTCTCAGGGTCCAGAAACAGCCAGCCAGCCGCCTGACCCTCCTGTGCAGCCGTGGCTTGGGGTGGCAGTAGTGTTGGTGAGAATTAAATCCTGTGACCACCATGGGCTATCAAAACACTGCATGTTGCATGTCTGTCATAGCAACCCGAAAGCAAGGCCCACCAAGGATGATTTCTCAGGCCTACAGATGAGGAAGCAGGCCTGGAGGCCCAAGGCCTTGCACCTTGACTCCAAAGGCCACTGACCGGTGGCCTCCCCGCTTTCCACTGCCCCAACACCCCAAGGTTCAGAAGTGCATCCAGAGATGTCTGGTGGGTCGCCGTTGCCTCCACCCGGACCAGCTGTGAGCTGAGCTGTGCCCTCACCCTGGGAGCCTGAGAGCTGGTCCCAGAGCCGGCCCAGGGGCCCAGCTCCAGCCCCAGTCAGGCTGCCCAAGTGAAGAGAGAGCTTGGCAAAGGAGCATTTTTTTTCTCTTCTCCAGAAATTTTTTTTTTTTTTTGGTACCAGGGATTGAACTCAGGTCCTTGCTCTTGGCAAGGCATTCGGCAGAACCACTGAGCTAAATCCCCAGCCCCAGAAATGTGTTTTAATTTTTTAAAAAGGGCTTTACTTTTATAAAAATTGTACATGCTCATTATAAGAAACATTTCACTACACAGTTCCAAAAACGAAATTTTCAAGTGATCCAGAAACCCAGAACCCCACAAAAAAACCCTGGGGACACCCGGAGAACATCAGTGTACACAGAAGAGCACAGCTTAGGCATCTGCTTGGAAATGTTCAAAAAATGAGCTCATACAATACCTGCTCTTTAGAAAAAGGATTTACACAAAAGAATGAAAGGAAACAAAAATGTACGTCACTAAGGAACTTGCCAAGCCGCAAATAATTACACTGTCACTTATGTGTCTGAAATATATCTCTGAAAGAAAGAAAACTAGTAAGTGGCTGGATTTGTGCTTTCGGTCTCTACTACAGGTGGCATCTCTTGACACCCTGGTTTGGGATGAGGAAATGAGCTCACTGCCACTTCCCATTTCCTTCCCTCCCAAATTTTGTGAGTTTGCATTTTTACATTGTCCAGGTTTACACTACTTACATCCTGTCCTGTAACCATCGTTCCCACCATTGTTTGGCCACCGTTCTGTGTGTGGATTCTCTGCTCACCGCCTGTTTTCCCAGTCCAGAGTTATTTTCATTCCTCCTCACTGCCTTGGCTTGTCACCATGGAATCTTCCAGCAAGGCTGAGCTGCTCATGCCAGGGAGGTGTGGCCCCAGGGGCAGCCCAAAGTGCAGTGAGCACATGGCCTGTGAAGCTGACTGTGTGTGCCCTGTGCGACTGACACACACCACCACACATCTCCCAGTACAATTACATGCAAAAATCTAGCTCTTGGCCTTGTATTTGGTGACACAGAGTAGATATTTTACAATTTGGAAATAAAATGAGTGTTCAAGAAAGCGTATCAGGGGCCGGGGATTTAGCTCAGTGGTTCTGGTGCCTGCCTGGCAAGCGCAAGGTCCCGAGTTCGATCCTGGGTACAAAAAGCATATCAGGGGACCCCGCCTCACACATATTCACACTGCATCCTTGAGACAGCAGTGCCTGTCCCTTCCTACCCTCACTGGGAAAACTCCCACTTCTCCTTGAAGGCCTACATCAAACAACACCTCCTCTGTGAAGCCTGCTGTGAGGTTTGGATCACTGTTAGGCTCATAGTTACTTCCTCGACTCCCACAGTGGGAAGAGTGGACCAACGTCCACCCTCCCAGCCCCCAGTTGGTGATTATTCCACAATCTTTGCACATCTCCAACCCTTTTTTATTTCTATTTTGAGACAAGGTCCTGTGAAGTTGCCCGGGCTGGACTTGAACTTGTGATCCTCCTGCCTCAGCCTCTCAGGGTACTGGGATCACAGGCATGCACCACCACATGGCCATCTCCTTGGCCTTTTAAAAAGTGATTACCTGTCAGCTTCTCTTGCTGCCCTGTATCTGTTCAGTGTCCCAACCCAGAGGGCAGGTACCTGTAGGCTGTGCCGAGTCCCAACACCCGCCTTCAGGTGCCTTTGCTCTGGGCTCTGTTCTGTGACTTGTTCTGGCTAATGAGATGTTTGGAGACAGGACCTGCACAAAGCCTTGACATGGCCTTGTGGCACAGTCTGTCCTCCTGTGCTTCTGCCATCTCCATGAGCAAGGCTGCCCCTGGGTAGCCCTTGGTTGCAGAAGAGATGAGACGGGACAGACCGCAAGACAGCCTGTGCCCAGGAGCCGATCTGGCCAGGGCCCATTGGAACCAGGAGGGCTACTCAGGCAGTCAGACACCTGAGCTGGAAATGAGCATTTAGGGTAGTGAGCCCTTGAACTACAGGGCCATCTGTTATCTAGCACTGCTGGCACAGACAGTTGGCAGAGATGCCTCTGTCTGTGTCCCCTGCACTTGAAGTGCACATGGCTTTGCTTTCTTAACTACACAGCTGATTCTACTGCAGAGCCTGCCTTCTCCCTGTTTTATGAGCAGCTTGAGGAGGCATTGCCTGTGCCTGATTCATTCTGACTCCTGGTACCCTGTGTCTTTCCCTGTCATTCTTTCCTCCTGTATCTTCCCCAGGACAGCCCAGTCTGAGGAAGAGCCCAGGGAGCCACTTCAGGACCGGTCACTACTGGGGTACCTGGGAGCCTCAGGAACCAAATGGCTGCTTCCCAGTAATGCATGAAGACAGGGAGGAGACCTATTTTAGTACAGCAGTCTCCCCCTATTCACTATATGTCCCCAAATATCTGGGGACTGTGGGCAGTCCTGCACCTATCAATACACACTAGGCACAGTAGGAGATTAATAGTAGCAATAAATAATAAAATAGAATGATCATAATGTACTATAATAAAAATTATAATTTATGAATTACAGATGGCCATAATGGCACCTGCCTATAGTCTCAGCTACTTGGGAAGCTGAGGCAGGAGGTTTGCCAGAGCCCAGGAGTTTGGGGCCAGCCTGGGGAACAAAGAAGGACCCTGTTTCCAAAAAGTTATTTTTAATTGTTTATTTCTGGGATTGTCCATTGAATATTCTTGGACCATGGTTAACCACAAGTAACTAAAACTATGGAAAATAGAACCACAGATAGAGGAGGACTGCTTTGTACGTGAGGTGTCACAGGCGAAAACCAAGATTTGTGTCCAAATATGAACAAAGAGCCTGGACCTATGGAATTCTCT